AACTGTAGACTTCTCCTAGCTCTTTGGAGGAAGTGCGGGATAAAACGGAAACAGTGAGCCCCAACACTAGCACTGCAATCCACCTTTGCGTAGGGGAAGTCGTATATAAATCTGTAGCTCGGTCGGTTGGCCCATCTCAGTGACATAAGTATGCAGGTTATTTTTTACTGGGGTGAAAAGGTGTCCCCTAAACCCAATTTTTGTTTCTAATACTGCCATTTCATCAGGCAATCCTTCCTATCCACAGCAATGAAAAGTTCCTTTCTTAATGTCTTATGTGGCATCAAACCTTTGGAAACCAAAATCTGAAAACTTCTATCAATGGCCGCAAGCTTACTTGAAAAAAGCTCTAAGGCTGCAATCACACACACTAAATAATCCACTGTCAATGCACTCTCCAACTGGATTTTACTGCGTGAACTGACAAAATCCTATCCGAAAGTGTATTGAAAGTAGACTGAAAGTGGATTATTTAGCGTGTGTGATTGCAGCCTAAGAAAGCCATGATCAATATAATCAAGGCTCTATATGGTTCTGAATGTAACAACTCAAAGTGTGGCACACCAATTCCTTGCAAACTCTCGTAGTAATTCACAGCAGAACTGGGGCCACTCCCATCCTTAATGAGTGGCAGGGCCAAAGGCTAACAGAGCATCATCAAGAAAGGCAGGGGGAAATTCACATTCAATAGCATCAGGGAACATTGACCCTTGAAAGCCTGGGAAAGCTTTGTTGGTCTCTAAGGTGCCTACTGTACTGGAATCCTGGGTTTTCAAATGCAGACTACTTGAAACTATCTTCATGAAAGGCAAGGCAAGGGAAAGTTCAATAATTAGGGTTAGGGTTAGGGTTGGACAAATCTTCATGATTTGATGATGACAGCTGGGGGGGCCCCTTCCTTCCCCCCTCTCCGCCGCCGGAGACAGAAGGGGGCAGAGAAAGTCTCTGGGGGGCTTCTTGGTGCCAGTTTGGCAAGGGGGCTGCCCAGAAGCGGACGGGCCGCCTTTCCCCCGCTACCGCCTGCCTGCCTCCGCGGGGCTCCTCCCAAGCAGACCACCCCTCCCCTTCCCCGGCCAGGCTGCGGGCGATGAGAGGCTGCCGGCGGCCGCCCCTGCCTCTCCTCCCACGCCCTAACGGCCGACTCGCGCTCTAGGCAAAGGCTTAGTTTGCCTAGCTGGCGAGCTGGCCCTGAATGCACCTTTGCGTGTTGAGTAGTTGGGGAAGTCGTATATAAATCTGTAGCTTGGTAGGTTGGCCCATCTCAGTGACATAGGTATGCAGGTTACCGCCAGGCTTTTGAGTAGGAGCCGCCCCCCCACTATACTACCACCGCCCTGAGGTCCTGAGGAAACATCCTAGTATGGAAGAAGCCTTCTGCCGTCTTCTTGGAACTTCGGACATACGACCCACCATCCCTAGATTATGGAAGTCACTGAGCACTTTGTTCAACTAGGATTTTTAAGATGTATTATATGTTTTTAAATTATTATGTATATTATTGTTTTATTATGGCAAGGTTGTCTTGCCTCTGTAAGCTGCCCTGAGCCCACTGGGGAGGGCGGGGTATAAATACGAAAAATAAATAAATAAATAAATAAATGCCTCCCCGTGCCTTCCCCGGCCTGTCCAAGGGTTGGCAGCCACGGGGCACCCAGGCAAGCCAAGGGAAGGCATGGAGTGTGGCCTAATATGTTAATGAGCTGTGCTGTCAAGGGTGTGGCCTATTATGCTAATAAGTTCCTGCTGGGCTTTTTCTACAAAAAAAAGCCTTGAGTTCCAGGATACTCACATTTGGACAATAGAGAACAATTTTGAGAGTGCTTGTGTAATGTTCCTGTCTTCATAAAAATGAAAGATTTCAAGAGCTTCAACAGAGAGTGCTTGCAGTTGAGAGTCTCAAGCTGCAATAATTGTGTATGGTTTTAAAAATCTACATGTTGATGCATATTGTCTTCAAAAAATAAGGTCTGCGAAATCTGTTACAGCCTTATGAGGTCTTGATGTGACACCAAGGAACAAACCTTGGCATGCAGCTTCCCTGCATGTGGGGTTAAAGCCCAACCAAAAATGACAATAGAATTGGAGCATTAATGCTTAGCCCAGTGACAGCTTTAGATCATGATATGCAAATGATTAATTCTTCAGCAGTTAGCACAATCCATGCACATATTTCCCAGTGATTTAACACAGCCTTTGGGGTGAGATCCAAACAGCACATTGTTCTGAAGCCAGGCATTCAAAAGAGACAAAAGGGATGCACACAGAAGGCATACCCATGTTATCAGCAGTGGCTCCGGTGTGGTGGAATATTCTTTCTGCGCAGTTCAGGAAGAACCTCACATTATTAGCATTTCAGGAGCAGTGTAAGACTAAGATTGCCAACTGGACAGTAGGGAAATTGTTCAGACTCTGTCCATGCTTGTAGATGCCACCACCTCCTGTGGCAGTGAATTCCATGTGTTAATCACTCTTTGGGTGAAGAAGTACTTCCTTTTATCCGTTCTAACCCGACCGCTCAGCAATTTCATAGAGTGCCCACAAGTTCTTGTATTGTGAGAAAGGGAGAAAAGTACTTCTTTCTCTACCTGCTCTATCCCATGCATAATCTTGTAAACCTCGATCGTTGTCACCCCTCAGTCTATCTGCACAAGACTATCTGCACAGGTGCCCCACTTATTTATTACTTTATTTATTTTCTTTGTTTATAGTCTGCTAGTGGGGATCCAAAGCAGCTGACATTGTTCTCCTCTCCTCCATTTCGTACTCACAACAGCCCTGTGAGGTAGGGTAGGCTAAGTGTGATTGGCTCAAAGTCATTGAGTAAGCTTTCATGGCAGATTAGGGATATGAAACTGTGTCTCTTAGATCCGAGTCCGACTAACCATGAGACTGTGCTGGCTCTCAATTTGTGTTGCCAACCTCCAGGTAGCAGCCAAAAATGAGAGATCACGGGAGGAAGTAGAATTCCAAAAACAACATCCGTGACAAAAATAACAAAGAGTCAATAAAGATAAGTTGCAAAATTGTTTACTGTAGTAATTTCTGTAGAAAATGTTAGCACTCACATGCTAACGAATACTGCGCAATGAATAATTCGTTTCACAATATTTGCTTTATCTGAGCGTGTAGCAATCCCAATTCTTATCAATCACTACTTATCAACTCCTGTGAAGACCTTGGGTTTTGTTATCAGAGAGTCAACATGGAATGTTTCTTTCAGGAGTTGATAAGTAGTGATTTTTGTCATGGATGTTGTTTTTGGAATTCCTCAACCTCCAGGTGGCACCTGGTGATCTCCCACTATTACAGTTTATTTATTTATTTATTATTTGAACTTTTAGGCTGCCCTTCCCTGCATGCAAGTCTCAGGGTGGCATACATCATACAGAGGTTCCCAAACTTATTTGGCCTACCACCCCCTTTTCAAAAAAAATTTTTTACACAGCACCCCCCTGGAAATCTACCTTCAAAAAGTGGACAAAAAGATGCAGTGACAAATTTGCACCAAAGGCTCCTACCACCCACCTGGATCGTTCCAGCACCCCTCAGGAGTGGTATTCCCCACTTTGGGAACCAGTGGGAACAATAAATAATTTAGATTAAATTAAAAACCAGTAATAAAACAATAAATAACTGTTTTATTACAAATAAATTAAAAATATATAAATAAATAAATAATAAGTAATAAAATAATGGAGCTGCGGTTGCTCAAGTGGTTAAGATGCTGAACTGCAGGCTGTGGAAGGTCAGTAGTTCAGCAGTTCGAGACCCGGGTGCCGCATGATGGAGTGAGCTCCCATCTCTAGTTCCAGCTCCTGCCAACCGAGCAGTTCGAAAGCAAGACATTGCAAGTAGATAAATAGGTACCACTTTGGTGGGAAGGTAACAGCGTTCTGTGTGCCTTGGTGTTTAGTCATGCCGGCCACATGACCACGGAAACGTCTTCGTACAGCGCTGGCTCTTCAGCTTTGAAACGGAGATGAGCACCGCAACCCTAGAGTCGGACTCGACTGGCTTTCGAGCAAGGGAACCTTTACCTTTAATAAAACACAGCACGCCTCTTCTCCCCGGCAAGAGCAGACGCCGGGGAGGACGAGCCAGATGGGAGGGGGAGGCTGCCGAACTGCGCATGCCCGAGCATGCGCAGTACGGCCGGGGGCCGGGATGCGGCGGCGCAAGGACGCGCCGCCGATCCCACGGCCGGCTTGGGGCGCCCCAGACGATTGCTACCACCTAGATAGGTGGTTCGTCTTTGCAGCGGAGTATGGGCAGTTGGGACAGATCAGGGACGGAGACGGCACGCTCGCCAGATGTTGAGGTGAGATCGCGCCTGTTTGCTCCGCCCCAGTTCCGTCCCGCTCCCGGCCCAAATGGGCTCGTATGAACGGGGCCAAAATCCCACAGGGCACAGATGTTCTCCAGCAGAAAGTTTCACCAGGTGGAGACAGCTGAATCTCACTCAGGCCAGAGACCACCAAGAGCAGTTCCCCCGGAGAAAATGGCTACTTTGGAGGACGGACTCCATGGCACTGTATCCTGCTGAGATTTCTCCCCTCCCCAAACCCCCTTCTCCCCCTTCCTACAATTAGAGACAGCAAATGGCAGGGAATGTGTTTGTGCTATTCAAAAATACTCCGTGTGGGCTGTTTGTGTGTGGGTGGTTAATAGAAAAGAAACTTGCCAAGAAAGGAATGGCTCACAGCCACAACAATTGTGCTTTTTCATTCTCTGAATCTCTGACACTTCCCAACTGTTATCATTCAACAGTTAGTTTATTTAATGGGCTCTGAGGACTAGATTCACTCCCTCTAGTGGCTAGATTAAAAACACACAATTTAATTTTTATTTTTTTTAAAAAAACCTCTCTGTAGATTTGTCCTTTCTCTGTACTGTGATTGTATTCATTCTAGTTGGCCAGTATTTGACATATTTAATCTGAATGTGGAACGGACAGGTGCATTGAAATTACATTAAAATATGCGCCCCCCCAAAAAAAAGCATAATGACTTTAATAGCTTGATCAAAATGAAAGTTATAAAATAGAACTTCATGCCCAACTTAAATGGCAGCAAATCACACCATTTTGCAGCCGCAGTTGTCCTTCATGCTGGGTTCAAAATTAACAGCTACTATTCAGAAAGCGGGGGAGGGGGGGAGACCTGAGCATAAACAGATGGAAAGTTCTGTCTCATGGGGCACAGCAGTGGTAAAAGAACAAAAACTTTTTTTTTAAAGTATCAAAACATTATAATGGTATGTGTGAATGCTGAGGCTCCAGTCCTGCATACAGGACCTGCTGAAATTTCATCCATGCCTAAGGGGGTGCCAGCAGCTACTGTGTTGGACTAAGGGTTGCCAGGTTTCCCCTCACCACTGTTATGGGGTGGGTGGGGTAGGCTGGGTGGCACACAGAGCCCTGGCTCACCAAACACCCAAACACTAGCAGCTAAGCCACACTGGTCAGCATGAGCAGAGAGACTGGGTGGTTCAGAGCCCTGAGTCCACCTATGCAAAAAGCAAAGAGCAACCCCCTGCCCAGCAAAGCGGATCAACTTCTCTTTGGTCTATTCCTCTCCAACTCCCGGCAAAACCCAACAAAGGAGGGCTGGGCTTCAGCTTGGGTTTTACATAGTTTTCAGATCCCACAGAACTGAATGGGAGCTCTGTTACTGGCAGTCAGCAGTGCCTGTCAAGCTTTGGAGGTTCCCTATTGGTGTTTCCATGGCTGGAGAATTCCACCCCCCACCATTGCCTTGGAGTTTAATTGATTGATGCTGGGTTGTCTGGGAAATGTATCTGTTTCACGAACCACCACAAATCGTTCATGAAACTTTCTTGATGGGTGTGCTTCCACGAACAACGCTTTATGAACCACGAACCAGCCAAAGTTTGCCATGAACTGTAGTTTGTGAACTGGTTACAAGTTCTCCTCAATTGCTGCATATGTAGTCCCTGATTCAGTTTGTGACTGTGACCTGCTTGGAGGTCTGGAGTGGGAACTATTTGGCCTGTTGGGGAAGCCCGTGTGTATTACTCATGGATTTCCCTGTTCTGTCAAACAGGACCATTTCAGCTTGGAGGAGACTGAAACCCCTTCATGCACAACACAGTCTGGATCTGAATTGGGGACCATGCACAGGGGAACTGAGGAGAACTTGCAGTTAACATCTGGCTATTATGTAGGGCACAAGGTAGGTAGCTTGGACCCAGTTGATATACTCTGTAATGTGTCAGTGTGTGTTGAGCTCCCAAGATCTGCTATTGGGACAGATGAACTGTTATGGGACACACCTGGTTGTGTGAACCCTCTGTAATATATCTTGTGTTTAGTATTTTAAGGCACTGAAATGAGTATAGTTACCTGGTTATAACACAGTCCAGTTGATTTATAATTCAGAGCCTCTCGGTTTGTACATAGCTGGTTCTAGAGGGGCTCTTTTTTATTGTCTTCAGGATGACAGACAACAAAATGAAAACCTGTGGGTTACACATCTGTTCGACAGGTCTCTCAATTTATCTCTTTCAGCTCCTGTTATTTCTTTGCCACCTCGAGATACCCAGAATTTCACAGGAAATGATGTCATTTTTGGCTGCGAGGTGTCTGCCTTTCCCATGCCACACCTTGAGTGGAAGAAGAAAGGAAACCAAATGTTTTTGCCAGGAGACGACGCTCATATTTCCATCCAGGTACACAGTGTAAAGTGGGTAAGGTCGCTAAGGGACCAATTTTTTTGCGGCTATTAAGAGACACGGGGCTTGACCGAGATTAAGTGAAGTCCCACTGATATCATGGAGAAAGTTCATTGTGTGCTTCAGACTCACCCACTAAGATTTAACTTTGGCTGTATCATACTTATAGAACTCTTCCTAGAGTGGTAAAATGTTGATTCAGAAAATATAATCCCTTACCTTAAGAGCATGCCTTCACATTGGGGAAGGATTTTCTTTGCTCTCTGTATGTGAAAGCAATTTACCTGTTGCACCCACTTAAGAATTCTTAATAGGATATTTTATTGCAGAAAGCCAGTACAGTGTAGTGGTTAGATTGTCAGAGAAGCATCTGGAAAACCCAGATTTGAATCTCCTTTTTACCATTTATGCTGTTCCCGGCAGCATGGAGCTCGCCCATAAGAACAGCTAAGTTTTCAATGTATTTGATCACTCATTTAAAATTAACTTTATTTAATTTTTTAAGCATCCAAAGGTTCAGTTTTACTCACATTCCTTTTCTGGTGCTGTTAGGAGCCTTAAAGTCCCGAGTCTATTGAATGGTTCATGTGGTAAAAAAGGAGCTGGATCTCTCCCGTCTGCTAGCTGAGAGGGTTACAAAAACACTGGGAGAGGAATTAACTTTTTCCTGGGCAAAAGTATCAAAGGAAAAGGGAGTCTGTATAAAACCAATCAAGAAAGCTACTTCTAACCAGCTGACCTTGAGGTTACTAAGACTACATTACCCACAGTCCTCTATATATCCTCTCCTTATATATAATCGTCTTTTGGGGTGGCAAGATTCGATGCGCGGCAAAATCAGTTGGCTCACCCGGGGCCAGATCCATTGGCTGCCTTGCCTTGTAGTATGGCATCAGTCCCACCCACAGACCTGCCGGCCAGCATCTCACCCTCAGTCTCCAGGGAGCCATCGGGCGGGATGGACGCTCCGGCGGCCACTCTGGTGGGGAGGCAGGAGGATGAGCCCGGCTGGCCTCTGCATGACCTGGTTGCTCCCTCTGGCCCCAGGACGAGCCGGGCTGGCCTGTGCTGCTGATACCGCCTTCTAATAATGATGATGATAATAATAATAATAATAACAACAACAACAATAATAATAATAATACTTTCCATTTATTAATCACTTTCCCCAGTGGGCTCAAAGCGATGTACAGTTACTCAATATAGACAAGGGACTAACAATGGGGATAGGGAAGACAACATATATTCATTTTAATTGCATGCGCTGTCACTGCCTGGTGTAGATGTCTTCTGGCTGGCTCCGTCATTTTCCTGCACGGCTGCTTTGCTGGTCAGCCTTCAGGACCCATATGTAAATCGCCACACTGCCACCGCCTGGCCGGAACATCCATTGCAGGAGTTCTTTTCATAGCCGGGAAGCTGTTTTGCCTTACAAGCCACAAGGGAGATTGGCGTGTCCACCCTCTCTAAGGAGTGGTTCCCATTTTATCTACTCGCCGAAGCTTTCGAGTCGCTGGGCTCAGGCCACCGCCTGCTTGTGCCTCCCTCCAGTGGGCGGACGATCCACTGAGGGTGGTGGAGAGCTGGGCCACAGCCAGTGCGAGGGCACTGAGGGACATGAGGCAAGACCACCGTGGTCTGGCTTGGTATGGATTCCTCTCTGCCGCTGTGCTCGCCACCTCCACTCGGCCCGGGCATGGCAGCAGCAGGAGGATGAATATCATGGGAAGGAACAGAGGGAGAGATGGCAAGTGGCCAAGAGGGAAGGAGGTGGCCAGCACCACCACCACAGGTGCCTGGGGAACAGCACATGCCACCCGGGGATGCCAACAAGGGGACGAGCCCGGCAGAATGGAGAGGCAGCGCTAAGGGGAGGTGAGAGGGTCAGGGGCCTGAGGGGAGAAAGTGGAGAGAGAAGGGTCAGGGGGCTGAGGGGCAGACTGCCCTGGAGGCAGACCACAGGACGCCCCCGAGAAGGGAGCCAGTGCCGGGCCGTGCTGTCGCCCCTCGACAACATGGTTTCTGGAGGGGGGAGAAAGCGGGGGGGCAGACCTCTGTCTGCTCGGATATGGCCCGGCCACTGAGCTGGTGCCGGCCCGGCCCCTCCCCCCACCCACATGGGGCCTGGGGACCAGGTCAGAAGTGGGGACCAGGGGGGAATGTCTCACGTCAATCTAGAGCTCGTTGTCTTGATTCTACAATGGGCTTTGCTCCTAGTTTAAAGATACAGTGCAACTTGCTATGCTTTACTATTCTAATCTCTGCTGGGGCAGCACACCATTGAAGTTTGCTTGGTGTCCTTGGGCCAGTCAGTCTCTCAGCCTAGTGTACTTCACAGGGTTGTTGTGAAGATAAAATGGAGGAGAGGAGAGTGAGGGAAGCCACTTTGGATCCCAGCTGATGAGAAAGGCAGGATATAAATAAAGTAAATAATAATTCATATAAATCTGATTGTGCATATTATAGAATAGCTTAACTCAATCACATATAGCAACATTTAGTGTCTTGCAAAACGGTTATAAGTTTGATGGAAAAGCAGCTGTGTGTTGGGCCCATGCGTCTGCATTTATGTATGTGCATTGTATACCAGAGGTAAGATGTGTCTGTTCCCTACTCAGATATTTAACAATACCCCTGGGACAAGGCTTAACAAATAAGTCATAAATTGGAAACATGCATATGAATAAAATTCTACAGGCATTTTGAAAAAACGTAGGCAGACTTCCCCTGCCCTCCCAGTGCTGTGTGTGTTGAGTCCCAATCTGCAGTAGTGTGGACATCACCCTGAAAAATACAAAAAAAACCCTAAGTGGTGGTGTTTGTCTACTGAGAATAAAAGATCAAAGTAGACTATAAGGAATGCATTTTTTTTGCTCTCAAGTCACAGCTGACTTATAGCAACCCCATAGGGTTTTCAAGGCAAGAGACATTCAGAGGTGGTCTGCCATTGTCTGACTCTGTGTCACATCCCTGGTATTCCTTGGAGGTCTCCTATCCAAACACTAGTCAGGGTTGACCCTGCTTAGCTTCTGAGATCTGACGAGATCAGGCTAGCCTGGGCTATCCAGGGCAGGGCATGAGGAATGCAATACTGGAAATTTAAAGCATAAAATTTGAGGCTGCCTATGGAATTTATAATACTTTTTTATCTAGGAATACTACAATGGAGTGCAGCTGCAGTCTTCAATCCAACATGGCTACTTGTACATTTTGGTCCTGTTTGAGATTTCAGAGAACTCACTTGGAGGAAGGATGGAATAAAACTGTACTACATAGAGGAAATCAGCAGAAGATACATGGTAAGGATTTCATCCTAGATATTTACTGTTTGTTTTTCTTTTTCTCAGGCAAGAGGTGGGCCCCGAAAATACAGCATAACTGGGTGGTTACAAATTCAAGGAATCAAGAAGTCAGACCAAGGCATCTACATATGTCAAACAAAAAACAAATATGGTTTTGCCTATTCCTCAGCAAGGCTGGAAGTTATTGAAGGTAAATCACTGCATTTATATATCATGTTTTGAAATAGGAACCTTTCAAGTATGTTTGCCAAATTTGGTAATAGCTACTGTCACACTCAGGGCAAAGCCTGGTGTTGTTACTCTACCCAGGGTTTCTAGGATACACAAATATAATGACAATCAACAAGGCAAGGGACAAAAGCAAGGTCTACAAACCAGTCCAAAGTCAGGGAACCAAAGTTCCAAGGGTCAGAGGAAAAGAGGGTCCATATTCCAGGGCTTGGAAACAGTGCAGGATGCAAGGTCTGGGTCTCTAGCTGTAAACACGAGCACACTTAGCAAGGACAGACTACAAAGACAGCAAGTTAGGGTCAAGCGGGCCAAGTCACAGAGGTGTGGTGCACGCAAAATCACTTCCACACTGAGCCTTGCTCAGCGTGTTCCTTTTATCTGCCTCATTAGCTGATTCATCCCCCCTGAAGCCCAGGTGTTGCTTCTTACTGTTGAGTTCATCATCCTCCAGGCGCAAGTCCTTTGCTTCCCTATCAGCTTGTCATTCTTGCTTCTGCAAAGATTCTGCTGCTGGGCAATCAGACAGTCACTCCATCTCTCTAGAGCTGTCAAGCACTCTCTCCTTCTGTGCTCTGCTGTTTCAGGAGAAACCGGTAGCAACTGACACTCTGACCTCTGTGTCATTTTTTTCCCTTTTCCTGCCAGAATGAGCAGCCTGGCTGTAGCTGGAAACCATTCTCGCTTCCTGATGCTTCTCTTTCAAAGTTTCTGCTTCTCGACCCAGCTGCTCAGGCAGCTATTCCAGCGGCACGGGGCCTGAATCTTCCATTTCCTCCTCCTTAAAGGAGGAGGCAGCTGGCCGGCCCATGACAGCTTTTCAAAGTCCAGTGGTGCCTTAGAAACTAACAAAATTTATTCCAGCAGAAACTTTCATGAGTCAGAGCTCACTTGGTCAGATGCACTGTTGCCCTGTAAGGAGCGTGTAGTGCTCTTATGGATTTATAGTTCATAAAGTGATAAACTGGACTGTGCAACTAATGTGCAAAAGGGACTGAACTGTGTGGTGACCCTAAAGTGATGTTAGCTGCAAACATACTCCAGCAGAGGAAAAGCCGTCTCCTGAGATGATGTGCCAGTGGTTCCTGAGGTTACCTGGCATCTCTTACCTGTAGTGCAGCAGGAAGAGAGACCAGCTCCCTAGTCACATGAAGCACCATGAAGCCAGCAACCATTTGCTATAGAGAAATGCCATAGTCTACAAAAGGGACTTAAAATCCTGAAGAGACTCCATGAGCAAAACCTTTCCTTCAGCATGCAGGCAACCCCTCCCTCACCTTCACCAGAGACTGCATGTAGGCTCTTAGGCATAACAAAAGCTTTACGGCCATGAGTGGATTAATGGACTGCCACAGCCCAGCTAAACTCATCAACTCATCAGCCAGAGCCATCAAAAGACAAGACCCCTGGACTCAGCTATTGTTCTCCAAAGGTGTCACTGTTAAAGTAATTAGAAGCAGCATCACCCAACCCTTAAGCCCCCTTCCTCCTGAAACTGTTTTTTGGTTAGGAAATTTCCTGGGACTGACCAAGGAGAAGTGACAAGGGAGGTGGCCAATGAAGCCCACCCCAAGGGGACGTGACAAGGGAGGTGGCTAGTGAAGCCCACCCCAAGCCCCAAAATAGCATCAAACAACTGGCCTGGCCATGTGCTCTCTCTCTCTGCCTCTATACCTAACCCTGCCCTATCTTGTTGACTCTGGAGTAGCTGCCCAAGAGTCTTTCCACATATTCTGCCAGCTCAGGATACGATCACATTTTCCCTTATAGTCTCACTTATTTTTCTGTGGATCGCTTCATCTCTTCAGGACAGGCAAGTATCAGCCAATCAACGTTTTTACCTGCTCATGCGAATGTTGCTATCCCTTTCTCTCTAATTTTCCTAGGTCTGAATAAGTGTATGTGTGCTTGTGTTTTATTATATGTTTGAAATATTCTTCAGTAAAGAACCCATTTCTCTAAAGAATTGGTTTCTGCATTTATTCTTGGTTTTACTGGAAAGGTGGGATTTCTGTATACATAGGCTTGTGTCCCTTAGTAGCCCATTGCTCATTAAATATTATAATTCCCCACAGTTATTAATGCATTAAGCATTTTGGCTAACAGCACTGAAATGTACATCTATTGGGTCAATGCTTTCATATAGATATAACAATTACCCCTTAGGCCTTTAGTGGCAAAGACAGGAAAAATCATAACTAAGAGGCTGATGGAAGAAAAACGGCCCTGATATGGGCAGGACTTTGGGAAATGCACCCCGTCCCATCCAGGTCACATATGAACATGCATCAGACCGTATTTTTTTTCAAAAAAAGATTGTAGCAAAGCAGCATTGGGAAAGATCTATAGGAGGGACTTACTGTGGCTCAATGAAAGAGCATCTGCTTGGCATGCAGGAGACGCCAGGTTCAATCCCCTGCACCTCCTGTTGAAAGGACCGGATACTAGGGTGATGTGAAAGGCTTCTGCTTAAGACCCTGGAGAGCCGCTGTCATTCTGAGTAGACAATACTGACTTCGAATGGTCCAATTCAGTATAAGGCAGCTTCATGTGATCAGAACAAAGCAGGGGAGAAACCTGGAAAGGGGACAAATTAGTGGAAGATGTTGTGTGAATGCCTCCAAACAGGATATATTACGATGCAGAGAAAAATGGCTGTATGGAAGCAGTCTTGGTTTGTTTGACAGAGAGCTCTGTCAGGATCCCTCCTCTGGCCAGTGCTTAGCAGGCGCACACAAGCAAAATCACTGCCTAACATCCTTCAGGCTCCTGCACACAGGACCAGCTTGCACACTGGGCACCAACATCACCTTGCAGAGTTGGCTTGGATGTTCTCCTGCCACTGCTGCTCCTAGTGTGATGCACCAGCAGTTATAGAAGGGTATGGCGGGGCTGAGGGCATGAAGAGGACCTTCCATACAGACCTTCCAAGATCTTAGGGATCTTGGTGGCAGGGAGGAGGAAACAAGATTGTGTGTGAGAGAAGCAAAGCACCTTCCCCACCATCCCTCCAAAGGTGAACATGAACAGTGATTGGCCTGAGCTGTCCTGTAGGTATTTTTAATTAAGATCCGCCGCAAAAACAGTGCCTGGTAGGGTTGTATATCTGTGGCCCTAGGTTAGATTCTGTAAATGTGACTAGCACTCCCTTTAAGCCGCCCAGAGACCCTTAGGGGTTGGGGCGGGGTAACAAATCGAATTAATAAATAAATATAAATAAATAATTGGCCTTCTGGCCTGCAGGCTTCTTATCCTCCTCAAGTCCAAAGACGGAAGAGGATTAATTGGCTTCTCATGGGAGCCTGTTGTCAGTGATGGGAGGGGGGAGACTGGGAGAGGAGGTAATCTTCTAGAGGTTTCTCTTGGAGACTCGCTCTGATTAGATGCCATCATTGCCTGACTTGCTAGGCCAAGAAAATATAATTTGTGGCCCTAGAGAGAAGCTAGCTGAGATTTTCATGGACTGTAGGCCCAGACTATGACCTGCAATTGCTAGACACGTAGACAATGCTGATCTGTGGCCTTCCTGTTGAAGCTAAGGTTGGTGCCACCTAACAGCTCTGGACAGTGTTAGGTTGTTGAATAGGGTTGCCAGACTGCCTGATGTGGGCAGGGGTCTCCCAGGAACCCAGAAATCATTGCGACCTGCCAACAGAAACCGGAAGTGATGTAGGCATGTTGGGGATGTTGGTGTGTCTGTGTGATGCTCTGGTTTTGGGACAAAACTCTATGATTTGAAGTGAATTCTACCATAGAGTTTGGCCCCAAAACCAGAGCATCATCCCTGACATGCCTATGTCACTTCCTGTTCACATATACATCTTGTGACACTTCTCCCCACTCCCGGAAACTCCCTCCCTCTCCCCTGCCGGCACAATGATTGGACCTGGCAACCTTGTTGTTGAAGCTAGCTTTATTATTTTCTGTCGGAAACTCCCTCCCTCTCCCCTGCCGGCACGATGATTGGACCTGGCAACCTTGTTGAAGCTATCTTTACTATTTTCTGTCCTGTATGGCTTCTGAGTAATGTGCTGGCAATAATTTTTTCCTTCTTTGTATCTTTTGAATAAACGTAATATTATTTTATAAATAACAGTCTGTTTCTTGTGCGCGCTTGCCCTGAGAGCCCACCAGGTTAGCCTCAGGCTTCCTTGACGGAGTAGGAATCTGCTTTCTTTGTAGAAAAGAGATTGCTGTGATAGGTTATGTCACTGCATCACTGCTAATGAAATCACACTTAGAGGTCATATTTTAATTAAAAAGGATGGGCTGTTTTTCAAGTCTTTCCAGAGGTGGAATCATTTAATGTTTTTTGGGGGTGTGCAACTATTTTTGTCCCTGGCTCCTCCCTCTCCTGAACATGAAACAACAAAATGCCAGTTTGCTTCTGAGTTCATCTCAAGGAACTGGTTATGACCTTTAAAGCCCTTGGCAGCCTAGGGGCCCTTATAGCTGAAGGACCATCCCCTTTCATATGTTTCGGTGCACTAACTGTGGTCCTCAGGCCACCATCTGCTGGTTGTTCCCCCATCTTAGGATGACCTGCCTGGCATCGACCAGAGACTGGGTCTTTTCCATAGTGATTCCTCCTGCTCTATGGAATGGGTTCCCTGAATAGGTGAGGGGACCCCCCTCAAAGGAGATCTTCAGGAGACACTGCAAGTCTTACCTGTCTGTCAGGGCTTTCGTTGGTGTATGAACAGCAGGCATCTTGGTTGTTTGTGTGTGTCTTTGACTCTATTTTGTTTTCATTTGTAATGTTTTCAGGGTTTATTTATTCAACATATCCTGCTCCTTCCCCAGCCAAGCAGGGCTCAGGGCAGCTTCCAACAATTAAAGACACAGCAAAGGCAGTTGCCCACTCTAGGTTGTAGGACTGCATGCTCCAGGTTGGGAAATACCTGGAGATTTTG